ACAAGCCAACTCAGATCACTGCATACAGAAATGCTGCTAAAACGTTACAGACCTATCCTAGTACCTAGAACCTTAAACTTCATTTACCTGACTCCTTAAGGCCTTTACAAAGACCACCACTGTTGAAAACTGTACTGTTTAAAAACTGCTGGATATAAATGTTTAAAAATTTTCCTGTATGTGTCTGCACACAAAGTAGGAGAAGAATACAATGATCAAAACTAGTTTCTTCTAGAGAGCAATTACATTTCTTCAAGTTGTTTTAAGACCAACGTACATTCTATAAAAAGGAACGGTTTCATACGCTGATTTTTTTTTTTTTATTTATTTTTTTTTTTTCCAAACGTTTTTCATTTATTTTTGGGACAGAGAGAGACAGAGCATGAACGGGGGAGGGGCAGAGAGAGAGGGAGACACAGAATCGGAAACAGGCTCCAGGCTCCGAGCCATCAGCCCAGAGCCGGACGCGGGGCTCGAACTCATGGACCGCGAGATCGTGACCTGGCTGAAGTCGGACGCTTAACCGACTGCACCACCCAGGCGCCCCTCATACGCTGATTTAAAAGTGAGTACCGGTTATCCATTTTTTTTATTTAAAAAAAGGCATATTTTCTTAAGTGAAATTGAGAAAAAGAATATTGGCCAAGCAAATTCAAAAATGTGTAATAAAAAAACACAATAGAGGGAAAACATGAGAGAGGGAGGAAAGGGGGAGAGAGAAAGAGAAAGAGTCACATCAAAGCCCAAACAGAAGACGTGGTTTGCTTCCCATTAATCAATTACTGTGATTTACCACCTCACAGATTAAAGTAGGAAAACACATGATCATAACAACAGAGGGGAAAAAAGGCATTTGATAATATTCAACATAGAGAAGAAAATAAAAAGCCTTCTTACTAAACCAACAATGGAAGGCAGCTTCCCAAATTTGAGAGGATCTAAGAAAAGCCTATAGTAAAAAGCCAAATCCAACTGTGAAACGTTAAAACCAAACCCCTTAAAAGGCAGGAGGCAAGAGGCAGTTCTCATCTGCATTATGTAGGGACCACCCTCCCTACTTTGTCTACTTAACACTGTGGCAGAAAAGACACCTTAAGGAGTGTCGGATATGGTATTCAAAACACATATAAATAACAAAGAAGGGGCACCTGGGTGGCTCAGCCAGTTAAGCAGGTTAAGCATCCGACTTTGGCTCAGGTACTCAGTCCTGATCTCCCAGTTCATGGGTTCCAGCTTGCTGACAGCTCAGAGCCTGGAGCCTGCTTCTCATTTTGTGTCTCCCTCTCCCTGACCCTCCCCCGTTCATGCTCTGTCTCTCTCTGTCTCAAAAATAAATAAACGTTAAAAAAAAAAAATTAAATGTTCAGTCTGCATACAACGTGAGCTATGTGTCAACAGAAGTTAACGCTAGAACCTTTTTAAAATAATTTTTGATACAGAAACACAAGTGTGATGAACTGGTCACGATGACCCTCACCGAGGCCTCCACACGCTTCACTCTATTTCCGTCAGTGCTCAGTTCTCGTCCCTCTAACTCACAAAAGCTTTCACCTTCTCACTGTGGTCCGCTGAGCTCTCCTATCTCTACATCTGTAACAATACGCCTCTGCGACCGAGACACTGCTTTCGACTGCCGCACACCGTCCACGCACAGACTCCGCTACACCTTAAGCGTCTGGTAGCTCAGTGTCCTTTTTAATACTTGATGGTGTGTTATATTTAGTACATAACGGGGACTCAGCTCAAAACCAGACTACCATTCAAAACAATAAAGGTCTTAAGTAAAGATAATATTCATATTTGGGGTGCCTGGGCGGCTCAGTCGGTTAGGCGTTCGACTTCAGCTCGGGTCACGATCTCATGGTCCGTGAGTTCGGGGGCCCCGCGTCGGGCTCTGTGCTGACTGCTCGGAGCCTGGAGCCTGCTTCGGATTCTGTATCTCCCCCTCTCTCTGCCCCTCCCCCGCTCATGCTCCGTCTCCATCTCAAAAATAAATAAACATTAAAAAAAATTTTAAGATAATATTTAGATTTAATTACAAATGGCAAATTCAAAACAAAACCTGAAGAAAATCCTCTATACTCTGAACCTTACCATCAAAGAATTGTACACAAATGAGATAAATCATGGAATTTTCAAACTAAATTCAACTACGTCCAAATGAATGTTTTTCTTTTTAAAGTTTTTCTATACTGTATTATATGAAAAGCATAAAACAATACAAAATAACAAGCAACGTATCTGAACGATGAACCCAGAAATCTTCTTTATTCACAACACAGACCATCTAAAGAGAAAGAAAAGGAAGAATAAAAAGAAAATACCACTCTCTTGAATTACTTTATGTAGACATAAAACTCCAAATAAGCTCATGCGTGTTATTTTTAGACAAAGTATAATGGTTGCAAAAGTTCTTACCAAGAACAAATTTCTACTTTTTTCTAAATGTTTGCTTATTTTGGGGAGAGAAGGCAGAAAGAGAGAGAATCCCAAGCAGGCTCTTCACTCAGTGCAGAGCCCAACATACTGCTCGATCCCAGGACCCGAGCCCAAATCAAGAGCCAGGATGCTTAACCGACGGAGCCAAGGTGCCCCAATTCATACTTACTTTTTAGGCGGCTATAAAAGCCCTCAGGTATCAGAGCTGCAAGCACTTAGCAGACCTCAAGCAGCAAAATAAGAGAGCGGGACAAAGACTGCTACAGGCAGCTGAGAACAATACGCACGCCATAATAAATGCAGTTTCCAGGGCAGATGAACTGAAGCCCACAGGTCCTGCAACGGGTCAAGCAGATGCCGGCCTATCACAGCACAGAGCAGGGGTCAAGTTCACGGTCCTAAGTCATCAAGAAGAGGTTAAGATTTCAAGACCTTGCTCTGGTGTAAGAGGGTGAAATCTCTCTGGCCTTAGGAAAGACGTCCACACGGAGCAGTTAAACCACTGTCATACCTAAAGGAATAAGCTGCCAGCTTTTCAAAACACCTTTCACTGTGACTTCTAGAGAGCCAATAACTTATAACAAATTTCAAACTCTGTGAAGTTTTAATAATGATTTATATGTCACAAGTTTTACGACAAATATACAAAAAAGCATATTAAATTTTAAATTAATAGGCAAAATACCTCTTAAAATAACCAAATTCTACTAAAAACATTCTCTCTCACAAAACTAAATAAATCAAATAGTGACAGCTTTAGATGGAGTGTGTTCAATCTGGAAATATATGGTTAATTATGAGCTAGCAACAAAACCTTGACTCGTGAGGTCTCCTCAGGACGACAACAGCCCTCCCCTCCCTCAAACAGGTGTTTGCAGAGACAGTCCCTATGCTAGACGTGTGCTCCTCCCTGAAAAGTGTCAGTCAGAAGAAAGAGCTTTTACATCAACCCGTCTCTCAAGCTTCTCTCAGCACACGAAGAAAACAAGCGCCAGCTCCAGCTCGTCCTGAGGATCAGTTTACCGAAAGCGCAGCAGAACTGCATAACCTTGCTCAGCGGTCTACACGTGTATGTGGCTTACTCGGGTCACATCCCGACAGACGGACGCACTGTATGCAAGCTCTCCAGGAGGAGCACCGCATGTGACCTCACGGCCTCTGGAGCCCCACCCAGCACTCGGGGCAGGAGAGAGCGCGGTCTCCGGGCCCAGGGCCGAGTGCCTCCCTCCATCTGGGGGGCCTCAGTGTTGTGGGGAAGCGAGTCTGGAGAAGCGTGTGCTGCCTGCGGCCACATCACAGCACCTTGGAAGGTTCTGGCACAGTAACCGGACAGTGGCCGGTGCTCTCTCGCAGAAGAGGTTTCACGGGCTGTGGATTTCCAGCAGCTTATTGGTGCACATGAAGCAGATACTCAGAAATGCAAGGGGAACTTCTAACCCAGAGGCTTCAAACAGTGAATAAAAATACGTGGAAATGTGCTTTTTTTCCTTCCCTCCTGTCTGGACAGCGGGGATCCCCGGATGATAAACCGCTTAGAATTCAACCTCCGGTTTTTCACTTGGGGCCGAGGGGCCAGATCAAGGGGAAGAGGAGACTAGAACCACCGTGGTCTGTGGGCCGAGAAACAAGGATTTTGTGGCCACATGTCAACACTGAGAAAACGCGTGTCAGGAGGCAGCGTTAACAGATGAGCGCTTTGCCCCTCAGAGAGCACCTGCTCCCCAGACTCCGGGAGACATACAGTCGGTCCCCAAGAAAACACTTCTGTGGGAACACTCCTGCCCCAAAGACAGAAACCTATTTCCTTCAAGAACGATGCAGGAACGCCTGCTCCTCTATGAAGCCATGCTGAGCCCCGCGGGTGCTCAGGAACGAACAGAATGTCGCTACAGTCTGCGCGGGGGCTGTAAGGGCCAGCGCTGCGGGCACTGAGCAGAGGAAGGGCAGGTTCCGAGCCTCCACAAGGAGGCTGCATTCGTGCCGGCCTCGGATGGCCTCATAGGCCTGCCGGAGCTCTCAGGGACGCGGCGGAGAAGGAGAAAAGAAGACACTCCCGCTGAAGAAAGGCCCGTGGCAGAGGATGGCCCTTGAAAAAGAGTGTGACTGTTTCAAACGCCCAGGGAGCCAGCATCCCGAAGACCAGGGAGGGAGGCCGCAGAGGCATGGGGGCCGGCTCACAGAGAGCTCACAGAGAGCTCACGGACCCACAGGGCGAGGAGTGAGCGCGGACGGAACCGGCAAGGGTCCAGCCTGCGGGATGGCGGTGCTGTGGTGGAAGGGAGGACTGGGGTGGCCGAGAGGCTGCTACATCAAGGACAGGCAGAGACCGCCGGGGTAAAGCCCTAGGGGCTGTCGGGAGGAGACACCAATCACAGGGAGAAAAGCAGCCTAAGTTTTACAACTGTCGTGGTTTTGAAATATCAAACAAACAGGCTGATACTACCAGAACTTTCAACAGACCTATCGCCTTTGCGAGAAAAAAAAAAAAAGGAGGCACGTTTCTTAAAAGATAAGCACTATGCCAGCCTAAACATCTCGGCCTTAACGCATATGAAAATTACCAGGGAGAAATGGCGATTTCTTCTTTAGAATTTTTTTTTCTTTTTTATCCAACTTCTCTGGGCTTTCTTGTTCTTTTTCTGGCTCTGCATCGGCGGGGGGGGGCGGCTCACTTGAGGCGTGAGGCGTGTCCGCGGTGGGCCCCTGCGCGGAGGGCGTCCTGGCGTGGCTGGGGTCGTGAGCGTGCGCTGCAGCTGGAATTGAAGACAGCCCACTGTTTTCTAAGGCTTGCTGAGACAGAACAGAACTAACAGGTTAGGAGGGGTGAGGCCCGAACCCGCCTGCCAAAATCAATCACAGAGATGCAATAAGGCTCGCCCACAGAATTCTAATCCCGCCCCACGAGACATAAAACTCTATACGCCGCCGATCATCACTTGTAAGCTCGACTCCCAACTCTAGGAAGCTGATAACTGACATCTCCCCTCCACCCAGAACACGGTACGGTAAAATTAAAAGGAACTGAAGTTAATTCCTTATTAGACTTTTAGGAATTTTACCTCCGACCACGTTGGTTATCTCCAAACGGGTCTGGGACTCGCTGTTTTCAGTTACAGCGAGTCTACCCAAAAGTTTACGTCGGTTGTCATGCACCCTGAGATTCTTTATACCAACTCGTCCCAAAATGTACAGAGAGGAGACAGGTTAGTTGTTACAGCAAGTAACTAAATAGGGTGGAGAAGGCAGGCTGTCTCTGTTGGCAAAGGAAGGATCTGAGGATACAGCTGGCCTGGGGTGAAAGAATCAGAAAAGAGCACTTTGCCCCGATTCGTTCTGCTGCTCTCCCACCGGAGCGTGGACCATCCACATGGCCGAGGAGACACGGGACTGACTCTCTCGAAACAGTTAACACGGGAGCCTCAACAAAGAACGAAGTATGTCTTAGGCCTCCGTCAACGGGGATAAATACAGGAAGGTTCTGAAAAGCCTATTCATCTCAAGTAAACCGTTCATGGAGAAAATTAAAGTTTTAAACTATTTCTAAATGTATGCATTAACCATCTAGGATTCCGCACTGTCCATAAGCAACTCAATAAGAAGGTTTTGTTGCGACACAACGTTTTCAATTAGGACGCATCTTTATTGATGATTCCTCCCTCTGACAAGCCCCTGCCTATTTATTTTTTGGTCCCGAAGCCCAGACGCAGATGAGCACGGACAGGAACAGGCAGATGCGTCTCACCTGTAAAATGTCCTGGTTGATGCCCACTGTGATGCTGAGCTGCTGGCCGGGCTGAGGGGGCTGGCTGGACTCAGCCGGCCCCGGCTCGGACAGCTCCAGGAGCTGCTGGATGACATCGGTCACCGCCTGGGAATTCTGCTGACTCGACGCGGACGTGACGTGGACTTCCGTCTGCTGGAGAGGTAACGTCTGAAACAGTGTGGCCTGAAACGCAGCAGTATTGTCGTTGAAAACATAAGAAGCACATTAACTTGTACTTCAATTTACAAGAAAAAAGAACAGCACCTCTTCCTTACGACCATTAAAATCTAACAATATCCCAAAGATAAATGGTAAATAAAATGTCTCACTGATTTTTACGTGAGCCACAATACTGGCTGTTAAAGGAACGTATTCGGTGAATTGTTCACCTCACTTTTTAAATTTTTCTAAGCGGCAGGAGAGACCATCAGTTCAAGGTGGGGGTTTGAGCACAGGGTTACGAAATAAAATAAGAGAGAAACCACTGTGGCCAAAACAGTTCAAGACATTTCGGGAAAACACGTGCGCTAGAGGAATAAATGCGCAGTGAAGCTACAGACAAGAATATCCAAGCAGGGACCGACCTGATCACCCAGAAACTCAGGAATCTGAAACGCCACACCAAGAAGAGGGTGGAAGTCAGAGACACTCGTGTGTGCGGTGCCATCAAGGTGGACACAGGACGCCACACGTCTGCCAGAATCGACAGGGCACACGACACAGAGCGTGGACCCGAGTCACTGCTAGCACAGCAGCGCTCGCTCATCCTCTGTGACAGACGCGGCATGGAAACGCAAGGGGGCAGCAACAGGGCGGCTACGCATGGGGCTGGTGGGGTACACGGGACTTCTCCACCTTCTGCTCAATTCTCCTGCAAACCTAAAATTGCTCTAAGAAATCAAGTCTATTAATTAGAAAAAAAAAAAAAAGATGATGGAAAACTACTTAGGGCTGCCGGTGAGTCCCTTGTCTTCCTCCACAGAACAAGTGACAGGCACTTACCCTGAGGCAACAGAAATGGGGGATTGTCTCTAGAAGGGGCAACAACGGGGGCACCTTGGGAGGATCAGGGCACCTTCTTGGCACTTAGTCCCCCAACTAAACAAAGTCTGCGTTCTGCCCCAGGGACCCCAAGTTTAAGAGCTGGTTCCCCGGTCAACTGCATGTAAAGTGGCTCTGGAGGCCACACAGCTCCATCCCACACGGGCTCACTGCTGCCTCACTGCGCAAGACGACAGCACCACCGGCCACCGGGAGCCACAGGCTAACTTGACGAGGGCAGGGTGGGCAGTGGCCCTGGGCAGGCCACTCAAGGAGCAGAAGAGAACTTTTAAAGGAAAATGCTAACTAGGCTTCCCAGGAAACCTCACCAAACCAGAAAAGAAAGAAGCAATCAGATGGCAAAGGAGCAGTCTCAGAATTTAAAAATCTTAGCAGCTGGAGCGCCTGGGTGGCTCAGTTGGTTAAGGATAGAACTTCAGCTCAGGTCATGATCTCTCGGTCCGTGAGTTCGAGCCCCGCGTCAGGCTCTGTGCTGGCAGCTCAGAGCCTGGAGCCTGCTTCGGACTCTGTGTCTCCCCCTCTCTCTGCCCCTCCCCTGCTCGTGCTCTCTGTCTCTCTCTCTCTCTCAAAAATAAATAGACATTAAAAAAAAATTTTTTTTTTAATTTAAAAAACAGCCCAAAATAGACATTTGAAGACTTAATCGTTAGTCTCTAATTGTTCTCCAGTTTCAGAACTTATGGACAACAATCCCCCTGATCAGGGGTAAGGTGAGGAACCATCCCACGCCGCAGATACTGCAGAAAAGAGAAGAAAACACAAAGCGCACACGAGGCCCTCACGTTCAGTGAGTGTCTACACTGGCAGGAGGCAGGTGCTGACGAACACACACTAACGCTTCCAAGATTCCTGGACGCAGCGGGTCTGCGGTGGTGGAAACAAGCCTACGCTTAGATCCTGCCATAGAGGCAACAGACCAAGGCCAAGCTGGAGATTCCTCCCAAAAGTTTGTGTGTCAGACAACTTTCAATACGTGTACTGGAAGATACAACTTAGTTTCCCAAAAGTCCACAGTCTCAGGAAAAAATTATCACTGTCACGTCAGACATGGAGAAATCTTATTTGGAAAGGATAACTGATTCTTAAATTATAATAACATAGGGATAGAGATCATTCAATAATAATTGTCAGTAGCACTGTAGGAATTACAAAGTCAGAAATTAATGATTACATTTTGTCCTTTTTTCACTGGTTCAAATGACAGTCCATAAGTCAGGGTCATCTGGTATCATTCTGAAGTCTAAAAAGATTGATTTTCTTTCACTAACTAAAAAAATAAGAAAGCAGCCCTTACCCGCTAGAAACTTTCATAGCACTTTATGGCATTACATAATTTTTTTTTTATGTTTTTTACAAGTGGGGGAGGGGCAGAGAGAGAGGGAGACACAGATTCTGAAGCAGGCTCCGGGCTCTGAACTGTGAGCACTGAGCCCAATGCAGGGCTCGAACTCACAAACCACGAAATCAGGACCTGACCCGAAGTCAGATGCTCAACCAACTGAGCTCCCCAGGTGCCCCGGCACTAAATAATACTCTTAAGTAATATTCAATCTTAAAGGTCAAAATTAGGATGACAGATTTCGGTAAGAGATTATCCTCTTATCAGCCAGCTTACTAAACTCACCGTTAACACATGCGCCGTCTCTGCAGAACTTGCTGGATTCTGTGGTCCACCCATATGCATCTTGCTGATATGAGTGTTCAAGCTACCCAAACTTTTAAATACACAACTACATTCTGTACAATTATAGGTAGGGCCATTCTTGACCTTAAGGAACAAAAAAGGAAAAAATGTTTTTTACAATTGACAATTAGATAAAAATGTTTAAATTATAGCCAATCTAATTTACTGTTCTATTGAAAATGACAGAAACAGCCTAACCATTTAACATTACCTCCTCATTCAAATTAGACAGCTCTAAAATCAATGACCCAATTCTTTAATCAATAATGCCAATCTGAGATTAATTGAAATTTCAGTCTTTTCTATAAATCAGGACACGTTTGGAAGTAAGAAGTGTTCAGTTATTACAATTTGGTAAAAATATCTGACTTACACTCTCAGTTCTTAAATGGCTAAGCACAATGTTCAATTAGAAAGGCTACACAGTTGGGGCCCCTGGGTGGCCCAGTCAGTTAAGCGTCCGACTTGGGCTCAGGTCCTGATCTCACGGTCCGTGAGTCGAGCCCCACGTCGGGCTCTGTGCTGACAGCTGAGAGCCTGGAGCCTGTTTCAGATTGTGTGTCTCCCTCTCTCTCTGACCCTCCCCAGTTCATGCTCTCTGTCTCAAAAATAAATAAACATTAAGAAAAAAAAAAAAGAAAGGCTACACAGATATAAACATCACCCTAACTGAGCCTTTAGGGAGCTCATACACACACGTGAGGACAGATGGTCACCCAGTGTGTACATTTTTCATCACCAATTCCAATATTCCACATCAGCAACTACTTTCTACCACTGTGACGTAGCCAGAAGTGGGCACCAGAGATAAGGAGTGATGTGGAGGGCTTTTCCAAACTCAGGAGCTCTGGTGAGCACCTCACAGGGCGGCTCGGGGTCCCAGCGAGGTCTCTCTGGGCACTACACAAGTGAACGGGGTCATCCCAAACTCGCTCTGGCAGAAGCAGTTTGGGAGAATGCCAGGCCACATTTATTCTTCTGCGATATACAGGAAGCCTCACCTCACGTTGTTACCACCTCACTAGCATTTACGTGTTCTTCCTCATGTTTCTGGGTCTGAGATAATAAGCCTTGGTTTTTATTTATTTATTTTTTTTTTAATTTTTTTTTTCAATGTTTATTTATTTTTGGGACAGAGAGAGACAGAGCATGAACGGGGGGGGGCAGAGAGAGAGAGGAGACACAGAATCGAAACAGGCTCCAGGCTCTGAGCCATCAGCCCAGAGCCTGACGCTGCCCAACTCATGCGTGGACCGCCAGCGCAGATCGCGGACCTGCTGGCTGAAGTCGGACGCTTAACCGACTGCGCCACCCAGGCGCCCCAAGCCTTGGTTTTTAAAAGTAACTCACCGCACACGGAAGTCTGAATCTGTTTATAAACTACGTGAAGGGTGTAGGGTTTTTTTTATTTTAGTGATACTTAAGACTTCATTCCAAGGAAAATAAAAAGAGACACATTTGATTTTAATATGAGTTTTCATTCTGGGGCACCTGGGTGGCTCAGTCCGTTGGGTGTCCAACTTCGGCTCAGGTCATGATCTCACGGTCTGTGAGTTCGAGCCCTACATCGGGCTCTGTGCTGACAGCCCGGAGCCTGCTTCAGATTCTGTGTCTCCTTCTCTCTCTGCCCCTCCCCCATTCAATCTCTGTCTCTGTCTCTCTCAAAAATAAACAAACATTTAAAAAAAACAAAAAATTTAAAAAATACATGAGTTTTAATTCTGCAAAAGTTACACAAAATAAACAGATCCTGGATAAAAGTATTTGTGTCGCTTTAACATTTATTTATAGTCTACAATTAGACTATAAAAACACCAAATCATGATAGTCAGTAAGAACAAATGTTAACCTGCTTAAGAGATATACTTCCAGAAGCCTTGCAAGTCGGTAAGATCTACAGACAATAAAAAATTGTCAACATCAGTTTCACTGAAAGAGTTAACACGGAGGGAAATAAACAGACCAGCGGTCTGTCTGACAAAAAATGCGAATGAGGCCACATGTAAGTTTAGCAATAATAATAATAATAGGAAATATACTTTTTTCCTCAATCTGTTTCTTATCTTTCAATTTCTTACACTTCAGAGTGTCCGTGTTTCAAGTTTGCTAAAGGGATGACACAGGTTAACAATCACAACTAGCAAAGGTATGATGATATTCAAACATTTATTCATCAGAGCTATGACAGTGCAAGGCCACAAAGGGATAATATTTTATGTTTCTGCCATATCGGCCTAAAAGGTTTCCATCTACAGGTATCTGTTTCTTGTTTAAAACAAAGTCTGCTCTGCACCAACCCTAAATCTAGAAAAGAATGTCTCAGGCTCACCCATTGGCTCAAGAGCCGCGCAGCGCAGCCCCGTGAAAACCACACCCACCCACGTGCGACGTTTACCTCCGAGTGAACTCTCTGCACGTGTGACTGCAGATTCCCTTTCTGAGAAAAGGCGGCAGGACAGAAGGCACAGGCGTGGGGTTTTTCACCTGTGTGCTTGATCATGTGCGTCTGCAACGCCCCCTTCTGGTTGAAAGCCTTCCCGCATTCACTGCATTTAAACGGCCTTTCACCTAGGGAGGGAGAAAAATGATCAAAATAAAATTCCATAGTGTGGGAGCCCCGGATGAGCGAAGAGAGAAATACGTTCCGCCAAACTCAAGACCCAAAACCTATCTGTCCAGGCAGAACGCCGCCCCATAACTGTAGCCTCATATATCTAACGACCTAGTCAACATGAAGACCACGGGCACACGACAAAGGATGAAAAACCAAGATGATCTTCCAGGTCTAGCTGGCTCTAGAGCACTCGTTCTTTCCTTAAACCACCTCATAAATCACCCAAAAGTGAACGTACTTCATACCTGTGTGTATCCTAATATGCCGAGTTAACTGACTTGGCTTTTGAAACGTCTTTCCACAGTGTGGGCACGAGTACGTGAATCCACTCCTGTCGATGTTCCGATTGTACGACCTTGTACTTGACACCCTAGTGTAACACGGGGGGGAAACACTCATGAAGTCATCTCCTTTGTGTTACAATTTCAAAATTCAAATGCTACCGGAAAGTGTGGCGGACTGGTGGTCAGAACACACAGCAGTGAGAAATCACAGAGGAGTGTGCGTATGCACACACACACACACACACACACACACACACACAGGTGCACACATACATGCAGTTGTTTTGTGTGTTCATTACCATAAAATTCATTTTTTGCTACATAATGAAACGATAAACTTCCTTTTGTCTTGTTTTCTTGGGGGCCGGGGTGCGGAGGTCAGAACGTCCCTTGTGGACAAAGCTTTACCGTGACGGTCAAAGGTAAACAGCTCTATGCTGCCAAGTGTCCCTCCATCCTCCGGTCTCCCGCTGTCAGTACCATCGAGACGGGGCGCCAGGGTGGTTCGCTCATGATCTGGGACAGGCATGCCTACCTGGAAGGGCTTCCCACTACCCTGGGGATAAAATCCTCAGCCCAGGATGGCCTCAGCGCCACAAACTCTCCTCCACAGTGGGCTCCCAGACACCAGGCTCCCTTCTGCTCTCAAACGCAGAAAACTCACCGCTGCTGAGTTGCGGTAACTGCTCTCCCCTTGGCTGCAGGTCCCTGCCCTGGACCCAAAGGGCCCTCCTCATCGCAAGGACCCCTCCTCACAGCGGCTCCCAACCCACCGCCCTTCTCCGCTCACTTGCTCACTGCCTGCCTCCCTGCCTCCCGAGGAGTAGATGAGCAGTCCTCACGGAGTGTGAGGACGAGGCTGTCTGTCTGTCCAGTGTGTCCCTCGGCCCCAGCAGACTCAGAAGCCAGCGTGGCCGAGTGCAAGCCCACCACCCAGTCACCCTTAATCATCTCTCCAAAACCCTCCCAGACACATCAAAACCGCCTGCGCTAAAACCTCATCAGAATAAAACTCTAGTGTGACGGGGCACACGCAGCACGGCTCAAACGGTGACGTCCTCGCTGGGCTCTGCATCTTCAACAACGGGCAAGATGGAGGGAGCGGGAAGGGGAAGAGAGCTCTGACCCCACATGGGGTGCAGGCCCCACATCCAAACCACAGCGCCCGAGAGGATACACGAGCCCTGCCGAGTCCGCGGTGCACACACTTTATTTACCGCTGCGGACACTCTGGTTGTGGCTGTAGTTGTTATTTAAGGGTCTGCATATTCCCTAAGCTTTGGGGCTGGAACGGTGGCGAGCCAAAGTGACAAGGGTAGGTAACAAGAAAACGGACGCTGGCTCTCAGGGTCTGGCGGAGAACTCCGCTCCGCGAGCGTGACACGTAAGCATCGACACCAGGCCCCGGGAGCACAGGCCGGGAAGAGCCCGTCTTCGTTGCATCAAGAAAGTGAAATTGCAACAAGAATACACAATCAGGAATAAATCGAACAGGAAACTTTGAAAGAGGTGTTAAGTTTTACTGGAAGCAAATGCACACTCATGCCGCCAGCATTATGAGCCCTGAAAGCAGACGATGAGGGTTTGATTCCTTGACACTGGAAACTTCGGCGCTGTGCAACCGTGGGAAAGTAACCTGGTCCTGGAATCTCGGGTTTCTCATCCGCAAGGCAACCCGGTCTTACAGGGGTGCTCGTAATGATTAAACTAAGCTTTATTTATGTGTTTTTATACACACGCTAAGCGCAGTGTTCAGAACATAAATGTTCTAAACAGACGGTATAAATAAAGCGATTCATGAAAAAGGGTGCTCATCTGAACCCTGTTACTTACCTGTAAAAACGTATTGCCAGGATCTTGTTCTACAACTTTTTTTTTTTAATTTTTTTTTTCAACGTTTTTTATTTCTGGGACAGAGAGAGACAGAGCATGAACGGGGGAGGGGCAGAGAGAGAGGGAGACACAGAATCGGAAACAGGCTCCAGGCTCTGAGCCATCAGCCCAGAGCCTGACGCGGGGCTCGAACTCACAGACCGCGAGATCGTGACCTGGCTGAAGTCGGACACTTAACCGACTGCGCCACCCAGGCGCCCCATACAACTTTTAATACTCTATACTAGCGAAAAATCTCTACCCGTACAGCCTGCTGCCTATTTAAAATTTTTGCTCTAATCCGAAGCAGGCTCCAGGCCCCGAGCTGTCAGCACACAGCCCGACGTGGGGCTCGAACCCACGAACTGTGAGATCATGTCAGCCGAAGTCAGACGCTCAACTGACCGACCCCCGCAGGCGCCCCGGCTCATACCTAATTTTATAATGAGTCTTCATGTGCTCCTTCAGCTGTGATGACGTCTCAAACTCCTTCCTACAGGCCTTACAGGTGTGCACGCGGCTCCCGGCCAGCTCCTGGCGGTGCTCCTCCATGTGGATGGCCAGCTGGCTCTGCAGGGTGAACTCATCCCCACACTCCGAGCAGATGAGGTTCTGCAACAGCAAAGACCATTCGTGAGCAGAGCAAGCGTTTCAAAACCATCACTTCTTACAAGAACTGGTGTTGGGAACAGTCAATACACAGATTACACTTTCCTCTGGAACAAGCACGATTTCGCCTCAAAAAATACATCATTATGTCCAAATGTGAGTATATAAAAATAATCTTTATTGGAAGTAAAAGAAACATAGGGAAAGGGATGAGAGAACACTGCCATTTTTGGGCAAAGTGAACGGCTTCCAATTGGCTGTTGTGACTGGCATCTTGTCCTTCTGTGCTGTGGACACATTAGAGAGGCAGGACGACTTCACCTCCACAGAAGGGTCAGGACACAATTTAAGATTATAGTTTAATAGACTACCTTAAAACAAAACAGCTGGCAAATTTTTAAATGGAAACATTTCTCATTGTTGCAATTTGTTTACAGGGAGTCTATCACAGAAAAGTCTGGGACTCTGTCCAGACCTGGCTTGCTCCGTACGTGAAACAGGTGTGGTCTGAACAGTGCCGTGAGGACGTATAAAATACACACGGGATTTCAAAGACTTACTGCAAAAAGCAAAGAACATAAGACAGGTCAGTAACTTTTAATATGTGAATAATATTTTGGATATATTTTCAATACAAAATATACCAAACTAAAATTTCTTTTTTTTTTTTTCTTTTGTAGTAGGACTACTTAGTATACATTTTAAATCAGTCGTATGTCAATTAGGTAACACTGGTCCAGATGTTCTGGAGTTGCGTTGGTTCACATGAAGCCTGCCAGTTACGAGCCACGTGCATTTGGGTGTTAACCACTGTGTGTGTGAAACACGGATGTCAGTAACACCTGACCTCACCGGTACTCTAAAGACACCGCATAGAGCGCAGCACAGAGGAAGAACTCAGCATGACACGAATCAGTAGGGGCTACTGACTGAGCACGAGGTTTGATTAGCTTCCCCATTCAGAGTTCCTAATACAATTTTTTAAATGATCCACAAAATAAACTGTCCCAGCAAGGGGGAAAAAGTGAGTGTAACCCGTCAATGAGCATAAACTATTGCCTCCAAATAACAAAACATATAACCATTTCTTTCAACAGACTTTCTTCCATTTACTATACATAATGGCCCTGTGGATGTGCGTAAACCCTATTAAAATGAGCTGGTTCACTGACACTGAGAGCATCCTTAGCAGGAAAAGACAGGGATGAATGGAATATATTGGGCAACCCCATAATGATTTCAACTCAAAGAACTTTAAGTTAGTATTCTTTTATAATAATTTAAGGAAATAAGGAACTACCGAATCGTTAGCATCTTGTTGATAGTAAGAAAACTCTCTCCCGGAAACTGTCAAAAAGAAAAAATACACCTAATTTGCTGCATCTTTTAGAAAACGCTCCTCAATTTGTATGGCAAAATATTCACGTTCACTAAGGACTCCCCCGGGCCTCCCATCTTGTCACTGTGAAATAAAACTTGACCCCAGCACTCTGCCCCGTCCTCACCTTATTCTTTTATTGCTCTGGCTCAGACCCATCCTCTTTTGACTCACCTTTTTGCCAAATGATCAGAGTAGTATATTTTAGGAGAGCTCTATGTTTGTCAGTTCTCTGAGTGAAAACTCTGGTTATGCAGTTTGCTCATTTGGTAAAAGCAAGGGCAAGAACCACCCCCCGGGCCAAAGCAAGAGGCCACGCGATGGAGAGCGTCATCATGGTCTCTGCTTCACGCCGGGAAAGCCCAAGGAGCCAGGACACGCCTTCCGCCCTCCCGCCAGCTGGCGACACTTGCAGAAGCCTGACAAGGAGCCTGCCCTCGAGCCACGGAGGACACCTAAGGGTCTTCTCACCGTGCCGCATTCTCCATAGTCAGAGCTAACGGCAATCTTTGAGGCTAGAAGTGACGACTGCTTCCTCCCCTAGAACAGACCCTTCTGCGTAGTTTCCCTCACTGACAAGTGGCAAGCAGAAATCGTCAAGAGAAATGCATGGCATTCTAATCAGCCTCCACCTTGCTGAAGACAGAATTTTTACAAGTCAGGGTATAAAATATGATAATACTAACTGCCTTGAGACCACTCCCCCTGTAACACCTGTCCTTCCGTCTCCCCAGCCCTGGGGCCACCGAATGAACTTTCCCTGCCGCCCCATCTCTCAGTCACGCGCTCACACCCTCCAGGCTCCAGCATCTAAGGCTGCTGTCTGCCCCTGGCCTTCTCAGGTGCCTCTGGGATTTCTATTCCACGGCTGAGCCCTTCAACTGCGTTCTCTATTTCAATCACTGCATTTTCCGCTCTATCATTTCCCTTTGGCTCTTCCATTTTTTTCATTTATTTCAAAACCATTCGTAAAGCAATTTTAGGATGGCTGCTTTAAAATTCCTTCCAAATAATTCCAACAGCCAGGTCATTTCAGTGTTGGTATTTGCTGTCTTTCCTCGTTAGAGTTGGAACTATCGAGGCTCTTGGTCTGCTCGATGACTTTCAACTGTATCCTGGACACTTTGGGTATTATGCTGTAGACTCCAGATCTCCGCTTATCTTTCAGCCCGCAGTCACTCTGCTTAGATGCAGCACAGGAGCAGGTCAGAGGCAGAGGCTCACCTCGCAGGGCCCCGCTGACCCCACGGGTGGAAAGCCCAGGGCAGACTAGTCCTTCCTGCGCCAACTGGTTCAATGTCGCTGCGGCCAGGTGCGGTGAGGCTCAAAGGACACTATCTGGGCAGAGAATCGGACCACTGCCTGCACCTGCCAGACAGAGTATGGGAGGTCAGGTCCCAGCCCGGCTCCACGGGCACCATCAGGTGGGGGAACCTGGGTGCCGCCTCCGACCAGGGGAGGGCTGCGGGATCAGCTCCTACATATTCCCAGGCGGTCACGGGATCAGAGGGCCATCTGTTCCTGAGAACGGGGACGGGGCGTGGTGAAAGATCACTGGAAGCCTTGCCGAGCGGGTTTTCAGTTGGTATTTGGCCGGAGCAGGATGGGCATCGTCAGAAAGACTTCCCACGGTGGCCACTCTTTTGCCGGTTTTGGCTACGGGGAAGCAGCTTCCATCTACGGTGTTGGCAGGGGCACCAGGCTCCTCCAGCAACCTGCCCAGGGGGAGGGGAGGAAAGAAAGAAGCCGAGGCCCGCCCTCCAGCTGCCTGCCCTCCGCCCACCTCCCCCGGCCCTCTCCACCCGCGGGTTCCCCCTCGTCCAGGCATCTCAGCCGTGAGGGGGCCTGGGACGAAGGGCTTCTCCGTGTTAGCTGGATTCTTACGGCCTATTTCTGCATGTGACTGACTACAGGACTTCTGCCTAGAGTCACATTCATACACCATATTCTTCTACAATCACCCAGAAATACAAACGTACCGCACAGAGAAAGGCAGCCAAAACCGTATTACTTTCACATATGTGGGAAAGACAGAGAACTGTGGTCCAATACCTAGACTTTCCTTACACAGTAACAGATTTCCTACCCGACCAAATACTCCACCTCCCAATCCTGCTCACCCACCACCAGCCCGCGTGAGGACCGTGCCTCTCGGGAGAAGCCCTCTTCGTCCTCCTCATCGAACCACGCGACAGGGTCACCTCAAAGAGAGAGGAGGGCAGAGGGGGTCCTGGACAGCGCGGCCCTGCCAGCTCTGAGCTGCACGGGGCCAGACAGGTGAGCGATGGATACAGAACCCAGATGGAGCCTGATACAAGCATTTAAGACAACGAGCTCCCTCCTTTTCACGTAAGGCCAACACGTTTCTCACACCTGAAGTAAGCACAGCAAACCCTTTTTCTTGTGCCCCTGGAAAGCCCCCCAGACACAAATTCCTGCCCGGCGTGGGGTTACTAAGTCAGGTCACCGAGTATCTGCCTCCAGCTTCCGGAAGCCTTCTTGGCACACACAGGGCACCCACGCGTCCCTGCACGTGCCGCAGACCTCTCTTCCCCGATGGTGGCCACCCTTCCCCTCCCGCCATCCTTCACGATCCGAGACCGGCTGCTATACTCAAAGACAGGAGCCAGATCGCAGGGACAGCAGCAAGAGAAACGTGGAGTCCCCTCATCTCAGGAAGACACGTCTCTCAGAAGACTTTCTAGAAAAACCGTAACAGAGTCGGAAAGTACGGAACATTGACATTGTCACGGCCGTAACAGTAAAAGGCAAAGACGCTGAGGGTCAGGTGGGACCAGCTGCCTGCAGGCGGGGCCTCGTCTTGCAGCCTAACAACAACTGACACGAGGGAAGTTAAACCGTAGACCGTGATCAGAGGGAAGGACGGTGAGCTCCACTGGGAGGAACCACCTGGGAAGGGATACGGACGAAGCGTGTGCAAGAGAAAATACGACCAACGGACGACTCTGAAAGTTACGTACGAGGAACTAAGAACTCCTGCCAGCGAGAGGCGACTGTCAGGGTCCAAGCCGACTGCAAAAGGCCACTCCGAAGAAGCGCTACAGGGGAGCACGGGGAGTGTGGCCGTCGGGGAGCCGCGGGTGGCCGCGAGGGGCCAGAGCGGGTGGCCCGGGGAAGGCACCCCGGCCCGCTTCGCCCCTGCCTGAGTGATCCTGCAGGAGGAGCCACACACACCCCAGCCCAGACGCTTTCTGCCCACAAAACACGGGCTCCAGAAGCACTAACCAGGCTGCACACAGCCATTTGCTCGCACCCAACACACGCTGGCCCGTTCTCAGCAACGAGCCACGCGTCACCTGCACCACCGCCCCGCTCGCGTCTCTCATCAGGCTCCACTCTTATCGCCCGCTCTGTGTCCAAGTGCCTCGGCTCTTGGCCTCATGAAGACAGAGCAGTGCTCCCACCTCACCGAGAAGAATGAGGCTAGCCAGCCACAGGCCCAAGCTGTGGACGGGGCACCGGGTGCCCCAGGGCAAAGTCACGACGGGGCCGGGGACAGCGGGCATTGTCAAGGGCTGTGCGATGCTCACTGCTGTCCGGTCCCGGACGCACGAGTGGCTCCAGACACTCAGCTCCACTGTCATCAGACCTTTGCGAAGTGGCTTTCGGTACCTGCTGTGGTTAGAAGCAGGGACTGAGTGACAATCAGTGTGGAATGGGAAATCCCAGGGTTCAAAAAGCTGTGCAGCACGTAATCCGTGCACGGAAGTCTTTCACATAACTCAGTAAGACCAATACTCACTATGCTGTTTGGATCTAAGTACTTGAAAGAAAAGAAAAAAGAAGAACAGAGAAGGAAAGAGAAGGAAAGAAAAGAGAAGAGAAGGAAAGAGAAGAAAAGAAAAGAAAAAAGAAAAGAAAAGGGGAAAGGAAAGAGGAAAGGAAAGGAAAGGAAAGGAAAGGAAAGG